AAAAGAGGCGAGGGTCATCTTATGAATCAGTATATTGACATTAAGAGGGACATTAAAAAGGGGATAAGAAAAGCTAAAAGGGACTATGAAATTAAAGTTGCTAGGGATTCTAAAACTAACCCAAAAAGTTTTTTCCAGGTATATAGAACAAAAGTTAGAGATAAGATAGGTCCCCTTAAAAATAACTATGGGCATCTTACTGACAAAGAGAATGAAATGTGCTCGATTTTAAATAATTATTTTCTCTCGGTTTTTACACAGGAAGACACTAATAATATTCCAGTAATTAATTTTTATAGTGGGCCAGAAGAAGATAAATTATGTAACATCACAGTCACTAGTGAAATGGTTGTGAAGCAGATAGACCGACTGAAGCAAAATAAGTCACCGGTCCTGATGAGGTTTTTTTCAAGGGTTCTTAAGGAATGCAAAATGGAAGTCTGTGAACCATTAACTAATATTTTTAATTTATCTCTTCAAACAGGTGTAGTGTCTGATATGTGGAAGATGGCTAATGTAATTCCTATTTTTAAAACAGGGGACAAGTCGTTACCGTCAAATTACCGCCCAATAAGCCTGACCTCAATTGTAGGCAAATTACTAGAGTCAATTATAGCTGAGATTATAAGAAGCCATCTCGATAAGCATAGCTTGATTAATGATACTCAGCATGGATTAACAAGAGGCCGGCCTTGTCTAACTAATTTATTAACTTTCTTCAGTAAAGCTTTTGAGGCTGTGTACGAATGGTATACAATACCGACAAAATGAGATTAAGACACATGTGCAACATCTGGGTATCTTTATTGTAGACGTTTCGCCATCCAGTGGCTTTATCAATACAAATTCTAGGACATAACTTGAAGACAGTAGAACTATGTACAGAAGATGAGGTAATCAGTCCCTCAACCTAGGAGTAGGTGCGAAGAGCACCATAGTCGTGGAGATTCTGAAGCAGAAGAAAGGATCCTGGCGCTTATATAGTAACGTCAGGTATAGCAGACGAGGGCATATTCACTGGTAGGCGGGATTCCCCAGTGGAAGTAGGTCCTTCCCAACTAACCCTACTAACACATCTCTTTGGGAAGGACCTACTTCCACTGGCGAATCCCGCCTACCAGTGAATATGCCCTCGTCTGCTACACCTGACGTTACTATATAAGCGCCAGGATCCTTTCTTCTGTTTCAGAATCTCCACGACTATGGTGCTCTTCGCACCTACTCCTAGGTTGAGGGACTGATTACCTCATCTTCTGTACATAGTTCTACTGTCTTCAAGTTATGTCCTAGAATTTGTATTGATAAAGCCACTGGATGGCGAAACGTCTACAATAAAGATATCCAGATGTTGCACATGTGTCTTACTCTGCTTTTGAGGCTGTTGACCACGATAAAGAATTTGATATTGTTTACTTAGATTTTAGTAAGGCATTTGATAGAGTTCCGCACCAAAGACTGTTGAAGAAAGTAGCAGCTCATGGCATTGGGGGAAGGGTGCTCTCGTGGATCGAATCATGGCTCACAGACAGGAAGCAAAGAGTGTCCATAAATGGGGTTAAATCCGAGTGGGGATCAGTAACAAGTGGCGTTCCACAGGGATCAGTCTTGGGCCCGTTGTTGTTTATAATATATATCAATGATCTTGATGAAGGAATTACTAGTGATATGAGCAAATTCGCCGATGACACGAAGATAGGTAGGATAATTGATTCAAACGTAGATGTTAGGGAACTAGGAGGATTTAGACAAACTCTACTCTTGGTCAGAAAAGTGGCAGATGCAGTTCAATGTAGATAAATGCAAGGTTCTGAAGCTCGGGAGTGTCCATAACCCTAGCACTTATAAGTTAAATAATGTAGAACTTAGCCATACAGATTGCGAAAAGGACTTGGGGGTTATGGTAAGCAGCAACCTTAAACCAAGACAGCAATGCCTAAGCGTACGTAATAAGGCAAATAGATTACTGGGATTTATATCAAGAAGTGTAAGCAACAGAAGTCCAGAGGTCATACTGCAGCTTTATATATCATTAGTAAGGCCTCACCTAGATTATGCAGCTCAATTCTGGTCTCCATATTACAGAATGGACATAAATTCGTTAGAAAACATTCAGCGTAGGATGACTAAATTAATACATAGCATTAGAAATCTTCCTTATGAAGAAAGATTTAAGACTCTTAAGTTACATTCACTTGTTAGACGAAGAATGAGAGGAGACCTGATCGAAGTGTATAAGTGGAAGATAGGTATTAATAAAGGGGATATTAACAAGGTCTTGAGGATATCTCTCCAAGAGAGAACCCGCAGTAATGGATTTAAATTAGATAAGTTTAGATTTAGAAAGGACATAGGAAAGTATTGGTTTGGAAATAGGGTAGTTGATGAGTGGAACAGTCTACCTAGTTGGGTTATTGAGGCTAGGACTTTAGGTAGTTTCAAATTTAGGTTGGATAAGTACATGAGTGGGAGGGGTTGGATTTGAGAGGGACTTGCACATCGGAGCTTGTTTCTTGGGTGACATTGAAAATTGGGTTGGTCAAATGTTTGTTAGTGGGATAAATTGTAAAGGACCTGCCTAGTATGGGCCAACAGGCCTGCTGCAGTGTTCCTTCTTTCTTATGTTCTTATGAGAGAAAGCACAAGCGATTTGAAAAGTATCACCATTGGCATTATTTCCCTAGTTTTGAAGCTCTCATTATCCATTCCGTCCTCTTCCTGGTTGTCATGATATTAGTCTTATTGTGTTCTTTGAAAGGAAGGTCAGCAGACGTAATTACTCCCAGGTCTGTCACGTGTTCCTTTCGTTTTATTTGATGATCCTCTTAAATTTTGCATACTGTGTCCCTTTTAAGTTCTTCATTCTTTCCATGCCTGGCCCATGGCCGAGCTCCGGAAGTAGAAAGACTCTCAAAACTCATCAAAGGTATATCAAAGGCATACCTAAGCAGTTGGAACTTATCACCACTGAATGTTATCACCATTGAATGTTAAATTTAGTGCCATCTGCAAACGGTGATGCAATATTTTGACGGGTGTTTTTATCTTTGATACGAGGTGCCAGGACAGTGCCTTGGGGTATTGAGCTTTTTACTTCGTTGATGCTGGATTTTGCTTTGTTTGCTACTGTTCTTTGTGTTCTGTGTTTGAAACCTGAAAATTCATCTGTATGCCTTCCCACTTATGTCTATGACCCTCATTTTGTGTGCAGTCACCCTATGACTACATTTGTCAAACATCTTTTCGAAATCTGTGTACATCACATTTGTGTTTTGTTTGTCTGCCAACATCTCTGTAATTCTGTCATAATGGTCCAGCAGCTGGACAGTCATGCTCAACAACCATGATGGTTTGGTTGATGCCGAGTGTGCTGCTCCGCGAAATTTGTAACCTAACATCTCATCCTCCCTTATCTTTTTCTCACTGTCTTGTATCCTTCTTACCGTCTCCTCTTTACTGTCCTGGGTATATATCTCCACCTTTATTTTAGTTCCTTGTTCCCTACCTGTATCATCCCACTCTCCTTGTTCCCTACGTTTATTTTCTCTTCGTATATTTCTGGCAAGCTCCTCAGGCAATTCCTTACATTCTCTTAAGTTTTCGATTCTCATTACTTTACAAAACTTTACAATTACATTACTTTACATTACTTTACAATAGCCAGTATGAGAGTTAAGCTTCATTGCTCATCTCTGTGTTAAGCTTTATACATAATATATGAAATTTCGTACTATATATTCCACTATCACTGTACTGATGTTTCCCAGGTCTCTCACACACCACACATCTTATTTATGATCATTCTCACTGTGATTCCTGTTTATTTTATATGCTGTTCCTTGTGAGTTTAGGGTTGTGAGGGCAGGTGGGTTTAGGGTTGTGAGGGCAGGTGGGTTTAGGGTTGTAGGGGGCAGGTGGGTTTAGGGTTGTGGGGGGCAGGTGGGTTTAGGGACGTGGGGGGCAGGTGGTTTTAGGGTTGTGGGGGGGGCAGGTGAGGGTGAGTGTGGGTTAACTCTGTACTTTGTTCCACTGTCTTAAGTTACTCAGTTCATCTACCATTTTCCTGTGTCAGTTGTGTTGTAATTATCTCATTACATCAATAACTCTGCCTACCAGCAGACGAAACTTAACAAGAGTTAACTTGACCCTAAGATGTATCATCCTTTAACTACTGAAAACCTTCAGAAGAGGTGAACGCAAATTTATTTAATGTAATTTAACTGGAATAAAGGTTCCACACTATTTTGCACCTAAAATAATCAAATCTTCAACAAGACGTTTGACTTTGACTCTCAGGTGTAGTTACATTATGTGGCACCTTACTGAACCTTTCAAGCTACACCACTCAGAGTTTCCTTTGTTATTACAACCATTCTAGGATGCTGGGAGTGACTTCAACAACCTTGGTCATGGAGTCACTTGCACCTGTCAGTTGTTTTAAGAATCTGGTCCTCGTTATCATACACAAACGTTAAAAAATTCAAATTGATTGAACGTGGCTTTCTCGATTTATGGACGAAATATAATTGGAAAGTTGAAGGAAGAAGAAAAAGTATAAAATAAATTAGGTACCTTCTTAAAGTCTTTCTTCAGGTAGCTTCTTAAAGTCTTTCTTCAGGTAGCTTCTTAAAGTCTTTCTTCAGGTAGCTTCTTAAAGTCTTTCTTCAGGGATACTTGATAACATGACGGAAAATTCAGAATTATTCACAATTTTTGAAATTTTAGCAATGCTTATACTGCCATCACCTGACCTCACTTACTGGGCTGGTTAATCTTGTGTGACATCATGACCTCATTCTTCCATCTTTTACCCTCTCTCCATCCCCTATTAATATCAAACAAACCACGGAATGGGTGGAAATTGAACGCATGGCGAGTGAGTCGTAAAGCTCACTCGCCATGGATGATAAAGTCCCGGGTGGGTTAAACATCTTCACAGCTCTGGCTCTTAACTCTTATCGACCGGTTTTACTGATTGGTAATATATTGTATCGACCTTGCAGATCGCTGGTGCCTGACGCAGTGTAGTGACCAACCAGATTCTCCATACATACAGGTAAGATCCTCGCCTCCTGCCTTACTTGTGGCAGTTGAGCGTTGTTCAAAGTTATTATGTGAGAATGGTCCAGCACGGACTGAGACTTGATAATGGTCCACCATTAACAGCAACGTCGCCTAAACCGTCTGCTACAAATTAAGACTCTTAGGGAGTGGTAAGACTCGTCTGTTGTGTTGACATTATCAGTACCTGACCAGCCGGGCTGTGGTTCGTACGTTGGTTTGCGTGCGGCCAGCAGTAATAGCCTGGTTGATCAGGCCCTGATCCACCACGAGAGCCTGGTCATGGACCGGACCGCGGGGGCATTGACCCCCAGAACATCCTCCAGGTATACCGAGAGATACTTCCTGGGTTCACCCCTCTCCCCACCACTCGCCTCTCAGTGTTGTCAACCACTGTGGTTGACAACATTTTTAGTGAGGCTGCTGGTGTGTGGCTGCTGGTGCGTGGCTGCTGGTGTGTGGCTGCTGGTGCGTGGCTGCTGGTGCGTGGCTGCTGGTGCGTGGCTGCTGGTGTGTGGCTGCTGGTGCGTGGCTGCTGGTGCGTGGCTGCTGGTGCGTGGCTGCTGGTGTGTGGCTGCTGGTGTGTGGCTGCTGGTGTGTGGCTGCTGGTGCGTGGCTGCTGGTGCGTGGCTGCTGGTGTGTGGCTGCTGGTGCGTGGCTGCTGGTGCGTGGCTGCTGGTGCGTGGCTGCTGGTGCGTGGCTGCTGGTGCGTGGCTCCTGGTGCGTGGCTGCTGGTGCGTGGCTGCTGGTGCGTGGCTGCTGGTGTGTGGCTGCTGGTACGTGGCTGCTGGTACGTGGCTGCTGGTACGTGGCTGCTGGTGCGTGGCTGCTGGTGCGTGTGTGGGTCGCATCCTGGGACAAAATTAACCTAATTTGCAAGAAATAGTCAGCATATCAAGCAGTTTTCTGTACCTAGTGTTTACTGTTGATGTACTAGTGTTCCAGGTGATTGTACCTAGTGCTACAGTGATTCTGTACCTTTAGTGCTCCGTGATTGTTTACTAGGTTCCAGTGATTTTACCTAGTGTTCCAGTAGATTGTACTAGTTGTTCCTTGATTGGACAATAGTGTTCCAGTGAATATTGTACCTAGTGTTCCAGTGATTGTACCTAGTGTTCCAGTGATTGTACCTAGTGTTCCAGTGATTGTACCTAGTGCTCCAGTGATTGTACCTAGTGCTCCAGTGATGACCTAGTGTTACGTGATTGTTTACCTAGTGCTCCATGTAGATTGTACCTAGTGCTCCAGGATTGTTTCCAAGTGTTCCAGCTGATTGACATAACCTAGTGTTCCAGTTGATTGTACCTAGTGTTCCAGTGATTGTACCTAGTGCTCCAGTGATTGTACCTAGTGCTCCAGTGATTGTACCTAGTGTTCCAGTGATTGTACCTAGTGTTCCAGTGATTGTACCTAGTGTTCCAGTGATTGTACCTAGTGTTCCAGTGATTGTACCTAGTGTTCCAGTGATTGTACCTAGTGCTCCAGTGATTGTACCTAGTGCTCCAGTGATTGTACCTAGTGTTCCAGTGATTGTAAACCTAGTGCTTTCCCGTGATTGTACTAGTGTTCCAGTGATTGTAACCTTGTGTTTCCAGTGATTGTACCTAGTGGGGGGGCTCCAGCTGATTGATTGTACCATGTGCTCCAGTGATTGTATCCTATGCTCAGTGATTGTACCTAGTGCTCCAGTGATTGTTACTAGTGTTCCAGTGATTTGTACTAGTGTTTTTCCAGTGATTGTACCTAGTGTTCCTCAGTGATTGAACCCTTGTGACTCCAGTGATTGTAACCTAGTGTTCCAGTGATTGTAGCTAGTGTTCCAGTGATTGTACCTAGTGTTCCAGTGATTGTACCTAGTGTTCCAGTGATTGTACCTAGTGTTTACCAGTGAATGTACCTATGTCGGTTCCATGATTGTATCTTGTGTTCCACTGAGTATACTAGTGTCCACTGATTGTACCTATGTGTGCCAGTGATGTGTACCATAGTGTTTCCAGTGTTTGTACCTAGTGTTCCATTGATTGTACCTAGTGTTCACAGTGATTGCTTACCTTGTGGTAAAGGTGATTGTACATAGTGTTCAGTGATTGTACCTAGTGTTCCAGTGGTTGTAACTAGTGTCCAGTGATCATTTAGTGTTTTCCCTGTGACTTGTTGTACCTAGTGTTCAGTGAACTGTACATAGTGTTCCAGTGATTGTACCTAGTGTTTCCAGTGATTGTACCAGTTTTCCAGTGATTTGTACTAGTGTTCCAATAGTGATTCCGTAACTAGTGTTCCAGTGATTGTACCTTTTAGTGTTCCAGTGATTGTAACCTAGGTGTCCGTGGATTGTACCCTTGTGTTTCCAGTGATTGTATCCTAGTTTCCATGGAATAGGTACCTAGTGTTCCAGTGATTGTACCCTAGTGTTCCAAGTGTTTGTAACCTATGTTCCAGTGATTGATGCATAGTGTTCAGTGATTGTGCCTAGTTGCTCAGTGATTGTTCCTAGTGTTCCAGTGATTTGAGCCTATTGTTCAGTGATTGTGCCTAGTGTTCCAGTGGATTGTACCTAGTGTTCCAGTGATTGTTACCTAGTGCTCCAGTGATTGTTTACGTAGTGTTCCAGTGATTTTTACCTAGAGTTCCAGTGATTGTACCCTTAGTTGTTCCAGTGATTGTACTTAGTGTTATTCCAGTAATTGTATCCTAGGTGTTCAAGTTAATTGTACCTTGTGTTCCCAGTGATTGCATTGCACCTAGTGTTTCCAGTGATTGTACCTAGTGTTACAGTGATCGTACCTAGTGTTTTCAGTGATTGTAACCTAGTTTCCAGTGATTGTACTTAGTGTATCCAGTGATTGTACCTAGTGATCCAGTGATTGTAACCTAGTGCTCCAGTGATTGTAACCCTAGTGTGCCAGTGATTGTAAACCTAGTGTTCACAGTGATTGTATACTGTGTTCCAGTGAGTTGTACCTAGTGCTCCAGTGATTGTACCTAGTGTTCCATGATTGCAGCTAGTGTTCCAGTGCGTGATTGTACCTAGGGTTCCAGCCGATTGTAACCTAGTGTTCCATGTGATTGTACTAGGGTTTCAAGTGGATTGTACCTAGTGTTTCCACTGCTTGTATCTTGTGTTCCCACTGTTTTATACCTAGTGTTCACTGATTGTACCTTGTTTCCAGTGATTGTACCTAGTTTTCCGTGTTGTACATTAGTGTCCTGTGATCGTACCTAGTTGTTCCCCAGTGATTGTACCTAGTGTTTACAGTGGTTGTACCTTGTGTCCAGTGATGATTGTACTGTTTCCAGTGATTGTACCTAGTGTTCCAGTGATTGTACCTAGTGTTCCAGTGATTGTACCTAGTGTTCCAGTGATTGTGCCTAGTGTTCCAGTGATTGTGCCTAGTGCTCCAGTGATTGTGCCTAGTGTTCCAGTGATTGAGCCTATTGTTCCAGTGATTGTTGCCTAGTGTTTCCAGTTGATTGTTATCCTTGTGTTCCTGTGATATTGTACCCTTAGTGTTCCAGTGATGTGATTGTACCTAGTGCTCCAGTGATTGTACGTAGTGTTCCAGTGATTGTACCTAGTGTTCCAGTGATTGTACCTAGTGTTCCAGTGATTGTACTTAGTGTTCCAGTGATTGTACCTAGTGTTCCAGTGATTGTACCTAGTGTTCCAGTGATTGTACCTAGTGTTCAAGTGATTGTTATGATTGTACTAGTGTTCCAGTGATCTTAACCTAGTGTTAAAGTGATTGTACTTTAGTGTTTCAGTGATAGTTACTAGTGTTCCAGTGATTGTTGTACCTAGTGTTCCAGTGATTGTTACCTTGTTGCCTCAGTGATTGCTACCTAGTGCTCCAGTGATTGTACCTAGTTTTCCAGTGAGGAATTATACCAAGTGTTCCCAGTGATTGTTAACCTAGTGGTCCAGTTGATTGTACTAGTTGCTCCAGTGGATTGTTACCTAGTGTTCCCTGTGGATTGTACCTAGTTGTCAAGTGATTGTACCTAGTGCTCCAGTGATTGTTCCTAGTGTTACGTATCTGTACCTAGTGATCCAGTGATTTGTACCTAGTTGCATACAGTGATTGTACCTAGTGCTCCAGTGATTGTACCTAGTGCTCAGTGATTGTTACCTATTGTTCCAGTGATTGTTACCTAGTGTTCCGTGATTGGTTGTTCCTAGTGTTCCTGTGAATTGTACCTCAGTGTTCCAGTGATCGTACCTAGTGTTCCAGTGATTGGAGTTAGTGTTCCAGTGATTGTAACCTAGCTGTTCCATTGGATTGTACTAGTGTTCCAGTGATTGTTCCTTGTGGTTCCAGTGATCCGTACCTAGTGTTCCAGTGATGTACCTATTGTTCCCCGTGATTGTACCTAGTGTTCCCAGTGATTGTTACCTAGTGTTCCAGTGATCGTACCTAGTGTTCCAGTGATTGTACCTAGTGTTCCAGTGATTGTACCTAGTTGTTCCAAGTGATTGTACCTAGGGTTCCAGTGAATCGTTTACCTAGTGTTCCAGTGTTTGTACCTAGTGTTTCCAGTGTTTGTTAATAGTGTTCACAGTGATTGTACATAGTTTTCCGTGATCCGTACTATTGGTTCCTGGGATTGATTTTACCTCAGTTTTCCAGTGATTGTACCTAGTGTGCTCCAGTGATTGTACCTAGTGTTCCAGTGATACATACATAGTGTTCCACAGTATTGTACCTATTGTCCAGTGATCTGTACCTAGTGTTAGTGTTCCAGTGATTGTACCTAGTGTTCACAGTGATTGTGCCTAGTGTTTTTTTTTTCCAGTGATTTGTGCCTAGTGTTTCAGTGATTGTAGTTAGTGTGCCTCCAGTGATTGTACATTGTGTTACCAGTGATTGTGAATAGTGCTTCACAGTGATTGTACTAGTGTTCCAGTGATTGGTGCCTAGTGTTCCAGTGATTTGTTTACCTAGTGCTCAGTGATGTTACCTAGTCGTTCCTGTGATTGTACTAGTGTTTTCCAGCGAT